TGACTGCTTCTGGCCATAAGCCCATGGGCAAATGGAGATCTCTCCTGTTGATCTTGCTCCGGGCCATAGCTTCGATATGCCCAGAGTACAGTGGGGTAATTCGTCTACCCACTTTCCTTTTGTTGCCTACAGCCTCCTTCTTTATCCCAGTCCGAATTCTTTTTGGATGCTTTTTGCTTTGTCCATTACTTTTGTGTGAAAGCTTGGGATGTAAAAAGTAGCTTCTTGTCTCTGAACTTTGCCTCACAAAAGTCTCTTGATTAGCTTGCTGTCAAAATTGAGTATCCATTGTCTCTGTGCACAACATTGCTCTGGAATCCCAACCTGGTGATAATGTCTTCTCAAAGAAAGTCTTTACTATCCCACATTCTCGAATGCTTGGGCAACGAGGTTCAGACTTCTTATCCCATTTTAAGTGAAAGTTAATCTGTTGCTACTATTAAGTACTCCTTTTGTTCCAGTGCTTGGGGACAGTTGTCCGATGAGATCCATGCCCATTGAAGCGCAATGGCCAAGACTGGATACAGGGTTCAGGTCTGCTAGGCTGGCTGGTGTATTCAGGAGGTCGCAAACCTTTGCGCATTGTTCACACTTCTTTACATAGGCTTCTGCATCCTTCTGATGTAATGGCCACCAATACCCCTGGGTAATGGCCCTATGGGCGACGTGATCTGCCCCAGTGTGGCTTCCACAAAATTCCTTCATGAATTTCATATTAAAAATCTTCAACTTGTTAAAAGATGTTATGCACCTTAAAAGGGGTCCAGTGACGCGACATTTCTGGTAAAGATGCCCCTCTCTGTCAGACTGAATCTTGCCGACTCTCAATCTTGATCTTGTGCTGCACTCTTTGTGATCGTCTGGCAGCTTCCCTTCTTTCAGAATGAAATAAATTGCGTCCATCCAGCTTGGTCTTCATGTCCACGCATATTGCTTCTATTGCTCTGCTGGGATTAGTGGTTCGATGCTCGCGGCCGACAAATAGGTCGATCCATTATTGTCCTTACTTTCGTCCAGTTTTGTACTACACTAGCTAGGTGGCCTTGTATCAGTGTTAGCTGTTATTCATCTCGGCTAACCTGAAGTAGTCGGCAGTTCTGAACACAAGAGCTGCCAGCTGCATGACCTCCTTTGCGTAGGTCATTTGTTTAACACTTGTTGAAATTCTGTGACAATTTACAAGTTAAAGTTAATATGTTTAACACTTGTTGAAATTTGTGGACAATTTACAAGTTGAAGTTAAACCGAAGTCATTGTTTAACACATGTTGAAATTTGTGGACAATTTACAAGTTGAAGTTAAACGGAAATCATTGTTTAGCACTTGTTGAAATTTGTGGACAATTTATAAGTTGAAGTTAAACCGAGATCATTGTTTAGCACTTGTTGAAATTTGTGGACAATTTACAAGTTGAAGTTAAACCGAGATCATTGTTTAACACTTGTTGAAATTTGTGGACAATTTACAAGTTGAAGTTAATCCGAGATGATGTCTAACACTTGTTGAAATTTGTGGACAATTTACAAGAAGGAAGACTAAGGTTAAATACTTGTTGAAATTTAATACCTACAAAGTGAAACCAAGATTACGCCGAGAAAGGTAGTTAGGTACTTGCCGAGATAAATCATCGGTTTGTACAACCGAGGTGTGTCACCCCGAGGAGGTTGCACAAGGATTGAAGTGTATATTGAAGACATGCCAAAACTTCTAAGTATAGAATCATGCAAGAGCAGTAAAGAGAAGACAAAGATACAAGCACTCAAAGAAGGAAAGTTGTATTAATATTCAGAAAAGGCACGTTGGCCAAAAGCCTACAATCGTTCCCAAAAAAAAAAACAGCAAAAGTACAAAAGATAGAAGAAAATAAACATCAAAATTAAGAGTCTTCAGCAGGCTGGGTTTGGACCTCGGAGGATTGCTGAGAAGACATCTCGGCAACCTTCTCGGCCACAAGTTCAGCGTCGATTTCTTGCAGGGTTTCATCTAGGCTCTTATCGGCAAGAGGAACATCGGATAAAGTTTTCTCAAGAGCAACATCTTTGCGAACCTCCTCATCCTCCTCATCTTGAGTCAAGTCTAGGACTTGCTCATTTTTAGGAGGAGACTTGGCCCCAGCAGCATCTTTGAACTTCCTTACCAAACCCTCCTCCTCCTCGGACTCAGAGTTGTCGTCATCAGATTGAGCTGGAGTTGGTGTTGGAAGGAATGGAAGAGGAATGGCATCGGCGTTCCTCAAAGGCGAGTCCTCAAGGACATTAAGCTTTTTTAGAAGGGACATCTAACCAAGGGTGAAACCCTTGTTGCATGCCTCCTTCACTTGCTTTTCGTAGGCCTCCATGACATCAGCCATGCCCTGGGAATACGCCTTCTCGTCGGCATCCTTGATTTCGGCCTCTTTGGTAGCCAAGGCCTCCTGTAGCTCTTTTTGGGCCTGGGCCATCTTCTCCTCAGCCTCTTTTTTTTGGGACTCAGAAACTTTCCTAATGGCCTCAGCAGAATCAAACTTCTCTTCGGCATCGGTCTGAGCATTGATGGCAGCTTTTGCCTGGTCCTCCAACTTCTTCATTTTCGATTGAAGGCTTTTGTTGGCTTTTTGAAGAGAAGAGAACTCCCTCTTCATCTTGGCCAACTTCTCTTGATTTTCAAAAGAATGAACAGAGAAAGAATGGGCATGCTGGATGGCCTGAAAAAACACAAGACAAAAGTTATTGCAAAATCTTCTAAAGTACAGGAAAGGGAAAAATTGCTAGGTAAGGACACTCACTTGAACAGAACGTTGAAGCATCAGAGCGTAATTTTCATACTCACTCAACCCGGCGTTTCGGTCAAGATCGCCGGAGAGAAGCAGAGCAGTACTGAGGGCTACGTCGACGTTGATGTCCTCAGTGCTATCGTTGGCCATGACTGGCTTATCTTCCAAGGTAATTTCGGGGGCCTAGGGGGCAGCAGACTTTTTAGACCCCGAGGTCGTTGCAGAAGATGACCTCGGCCTTTTGGATTTGGTAGAATCGGATAGAAGTGTTTCAGCAGACCTCTTTGCAGGGACAGAGGCAGTTTTCTCACTCGAAGCTAGTTTGGAAACTGGCAAGGTATCCTTAGAATTGATCTGAGGCACCTTTGCCTTTGGCTGAGCCTTTTTGATTCGTTTTGGCTTTGAGGAGGCTGGGTTTGTGTTGGGTGAGCGTCAACATCAGCTAGAATGTTAGCCAGGAGATCTTTGGCAACTGGTTTTGGGCGACCCATCTCGGCAGAAGAAACTGTTCGGCATTGATGGCAGCGTTGGGATATTGGAATCAAGTATGGAGCCGAGGTTGATGGTATCTCACCTGGATCAGAGGTTGACCCTTGGTCTGTCCGAGATATGGACGCGGTTTGTGGAGTTGTGGCAGATGGTGGAGAAAGGCTTTTCTTCTTCCTTTTAGGGACGTCGGGCAGAGTTGACTTGTATGTTGGAATAAAATTGAGAAGCAGAGGCGCCTTCCATTTATGGACTAACAAGTCCAGAAGTTTCTTCAAATCCTTGCTGGGAATGAAGGATTGGCGAAAGTCTTTTGGTGGCTTAGGAACAGCTGCAAGAAAAACAGACAATAAGAAATAGATAAAGTATAAAAGACTTTAAAAAATAAGTAGGTATGAATGCAGGGCTCTTACTATTGCCCTCTACAAAGACTGATCGAAGGAAAGGGAAGAGATGGAGGTCTTTATCTGGGGCGAACTCCCAGTTCCCCGAAGTAATGAAACAATCATCCCCAGCCCCCTTGTTGGAATCAGGGAGGTCGGCAACGATTTTGTATTCAGTGGACCTCGACTTGAGGTAGTAAACGTAGCCAGTGTCTTTTTTAAGGCCACACATAGTGTAGCAATATTGGATGTCGGCTAATGTGATCCTAGCGTTTTCTTATTTGGCTAAGGCTATGATACCATTGATGGTTCGATAGGAATTGATGGAAAGTTGCATCGGGTTCAACTTGTAATAATGAAGTATTTCACAGAAAAGGATGTTGAGTGGGAGCCGAAGTTCACACTCAATGAAGGCTACCACAGGGAAAGGTATGGAGTCGTCAGTAGGCATGATAGAGTCATCATCCCCAGCCAACCTCAGATGGATGTCGGCTGGGATTTCAAACTCTTGTCTAAAGAATTTTAGTTTGGATGGGGTGTCTACCGTATGTTTCCACATACCCATGATATTGGCTTAATCAAAGGGGTTAGATTTCAGAAGATGTTTTGAAAGGGTTATTGGGACCTCGACAAACACTTAGGTAAATGCAGGTTTTAGTTTTTTTCCTAAATTGTGGGATCTACAGACAAATCCCAAACCTAAAGCTACGGAGATGAAGATTGAAGGGACGAATTTGGAAAACAGAAAAACAGGGATCCGTTTCAGAAACAAGAATGATGATGAAGACATCAAGAAATCAAGACAAAAAGATTGCATAAGTGTATCAGGCCAAGAACAGTGGCAGAAACCAACAAGTATGTGAACAGTGCGATTATTCCAGACATGGACAAAGAACAAAGATATGAAATAAACATGCTCAGATACATGATTCGCGAATCAAATATTCGAATAAAATAGCAATGACAACTAATGATGAAGCAAAATTTCATGGAACGCAACAAGAACTGAAAACCAGGAGGGATGGTGACTTACTAGAGAAAAGAAGCCGATGCTTGGGGTCGCCGAAGTCAGAAGAACAGTGGCGGTAGAACAGATTGGCAAGAACCACGCCAGAAGAGGTGAACAGTAGCGATGGTAAAGCTTCAGAGCTTGAAAAAATGGAGGATTAGAGGAAGCTAGAGAGAGAAAAAGTTCTGAATGAAGACGATGTAAAGTGAAAAAAAATGAAAGAGGGAAACAAGTTTTGTCAAAAACTTAAGTCAGAAGAACGGTGGCGGTAGAACAGATTGGCAAGAACCACGCCAGAAGAGGTGAACAGTAGCGATGGTAGAGCTTCAGAGCTTGAAAAAATGGAGGATTAGAGGAAACTAGAGAGAGAAAAAGTTCTGAATGAAGACGATGTAAAGTGAAAAAAATGAAAGAGGGAAACAAGTTTTGTCAAAAACTTGAAACGGCGGCAAAAGAGGGCAATTAATGCGCCTGGAACAGCGAATGCGTCAGATGGCGCAGGTAGGCGCGAAACGACTAATAAGCGAGTCCGAAGTACGATCCAGTAAGGAGAAAACACGTGGCTTAACGATTGAGTTGTTATGTATGACAGCTCATACGCGTGAAGGAGCTCTTGGAATTCTTGATCTTTAAGAAGACATGCTAGCCTACGATGATGATCTCGGATTAAACCGATGAATTAGCATGAGGTACTGATATAGGTTCCATCACCTCAGAATGCCGAAATAATAGAACCTAGAGGCAGTTGTGGGGATATATTTTCTGATACCAACACGTGGCCAAGGTGACGCCGACGTGTCAGCCGAGGTGCCACGTGTCCTGGTTGTTATGCCGATGTCATCTCGGATAGGCCGAGGTTACCTCCGAAGATATCGGAATCCGAGATAAGCAGATAAGGGACAAGAGTCCTAGAATGGGAGAAGACTTCAGTTTGGGTAAAGATGAGACTCTTAGAGAGTTTTATCCTAATCCTACGGGGAGTCCAAGATTGATAGTAATCCTAGGTCCATTAGAGCTAGGCTCCTGTTGGGACAAGGATTGAGTTAGCTATAAAAGAGAGGCACCCCCATGGGTCTAAGGTATGCTTTTGATATTCTGTGTAATGAGTTAAGCACTATTAATTATCTTTAAGAGATATACTGACTTGATTGTCGGAGTGCCCCCGGGTGGACGAACCACCGCCGGAATCTTCTCTTTCTGTTATAGGTCAGCCAGGTATCATCTATTCTGCCAATGTTCTCCAGCTGAATACTAAGTTGGGCAGTGTGATTGGAAAATCACTCACACATCTAGCATTTGCTTATTAGGCTTTTGCAACTCTAATGTATCCAGACAGAATCAAAGTGGACTATCCTTTTTTGTGAGTATCTTTTGATTGTGTTTTTTTTTATGTTGACACCATGAAAAACACTAGGGGTGTGTTTAATTGGACGGACATGATTAGAATCCATCAGACTTGAGTCCTGGGACTGTGAATCCCCCAGACTATTTGGTTGGATTGGATATGTATCATGTGTTTGTTTTTTCATGAGATTAAATGTCTTGAAAAGACTATTTTTAGTGAATCCAACGTTTGATTGGACGGACTGGATAGGATAAATGAACAAAAGACTATTTTACCCTTTTTTAATTGTTTATTAGGTAATAGCAATATTAAACATATCTTTAATATTTTAATTATTTTTAGCTAGATTAAATAAAAATTTATTTTGTTTTATTTTTTACTCAATTAAATAAATTTATTTTTTAAAAAATAATGAAATTAAATAAAATATAAACAAAATTTTAAAATAAAACATCAATAAAATATCTATAAAAAATTATTTAAAAATAAATAAATAAAACATCAATAAAAAGTTAAATAAAATTATTTTATTTTTAAATTGAGACATTTAAATTTTATTGAATTTTACGAAATATAATACATAATTAAATAGTGGAGGGTCAAAATAGTCATTTCACCACCTAATTCCAACAGTGAATAATCCCCCAAAATTGTCCTGCACCCCCCTAGGATAGTATAATACCCCATATGGGGATAAGGAGTCCAGCCGAACTCCATATCCGACAGACTAAAAATAAAACAAACATTGAATTGAATTTACTGTGCAGATAATCCGGACAGTAAACCTTGTTGTATTTTCTTGTATTTTTTTTGCAAGAAACTAGAAATTAGTTACCATTCTTGTACAAGAAAATTTCATGCTAAACAAACTTAGACAAATTTTTTTTTCCCTCACTTTCTACCGTTTTCATCCTAACCAAACTTAGCCTTAGATTCCTCAAGTTCTCTATTTGTGCGTGCATTGTGTTATACTTGTAGCCCATTTTGGGTTATGAAATGTTGCTACTGCCCCTGCTTCAATTCATTTTCTGGTTATATGCAATTTCCGCTAATGTAGTATGTTTTAACTTCTAGTTTCTTATTCTGTATTGTTCATCTAATTTTCTCCTAAAATTATGGTGGGTAATTTTCTAATTAGTTGACTCTAAAGATGCATATAACTATATAGTAGTTTGTGTATGTATATATGTTATGTCTGGAGTGCCTGCCATTGTTGACCATTGTAATTGTCTTCTGATGCTAATTTATATTCATTTTTTACTTCTTCATCTTGTACTCCAGTGGGTATACTTTGTTGAGGGACCCACATTACAACAAGGGGCTTGCGTTCACAGAGAGAGAGAGATGCTCATTACTTGCTTGGTCTGTTACCACCCGTGGTTATAACTCAACAACTTCAAGTACCATCTATGTGTTCTATCTTATAACTAGTTAATATGATTCCTGTTGAACTTTTCATTTTGGGGCTCTATATCGGGTGAAGAAAATGATGCACAATATTCGCCAATATCAAGTTCCACTTCAGAAGTACATGGCCATGATGGATCTTCAGGTGCCTCTTTTACTCACAACAACAACTGCAACTTGTTGATTTGAAGCCGTTGGTGCATACGTGACGTGCTTAGATGCTGCTTGGTTATAAATAATTCATTTTCAACTCACATAACAATATGGAATCTGGGATTATTAGCATTTACCCCTTCATTCTTCATTCCAATGCCAGTGTACTTGAGATACTAGAGACAAGAAAAGCATGACGGATTACTTCATTTATTGTAGCCTTTAAAAGAGTTCAAAATGGATGAAAACAAAATGGTAAATGTATAATTCTTTAATTTATGCATTTTTAATTGTTTTGGTTTACAGGAGAGGAATGAGAGGCCGTTCTACAAGCTTCTCATTGACAATGTTGAGGAACTTCTCCCGATTGTCTACACTCCAACTGTTGGTGAGGCTTGCCCGAAGTATGGGAGCATTTTCAGGCTCCCTCAGGGTCTTTGCATTAGCTTGAAAGAGAAGTATGATTTTGTTTCACCTGTATTTATGAGGCTTACAAGTTCTGATAATTTCAGTTTCGACTTAAAAAAAAGTTTTGCTTTAACAGAGGAAAGATTCTAGAGGTACTGAAAAATTGGCCTGAGAGGAGCATTCAAATTATTGTCATCATTGATGGTGAGCGAATTTTGGGACTTGGGGATCTTGGTTGTTAGGTTCGTGTTTTCTTTCTTAATTACATAAACATTTTACCTTACGTTACAATTCTTACTTACAATTAGCATATGAGAATATTTACAGGACAGTTTTTTTTTTAGAACTTCCATATTGACATTTGTTACTAGTGCTAATTCGATACAAATTTCTATTTTCAAGTATTAGTTCGATTGTTGAAAATTCTTGTATAAAAGCATTTGTAGCTAATAACATATACCCCTGCTTCTTTAGACCCCACCCCTACCACTCCCATATTTGGTAGCCATTTCCTGGCAACCACCACACCTCCCTGTTATTTCCCCACCTCTGACAATCCCTTTCCATTCTCAACCATAGAAAGAAAGAGAGGAGGGAGTGGGGGCTCAAGGTTGGGGAGGGATAGTAAGGGTAGTCGAAGATAGAGATGGACAAAAGAGGGGCTAAAGTTGCCAGAAGTGGGTGGTGCCTTGGGTAAGCATGGGGTAAGGTTAAGGTTTTGGGAGGTTAGGAATAGTGATAAAATTGGTATTTTATGATATACTAAAATAGCATAACTATAGCGATCCCGGTTGTCCCTTTACTGTTCAGTTGTATTCCGGACTCGGTTTCGTGGAATTGGTAGTTGTATCTATCTTGTTGTTGTCCTTTAAATCCATTTGGTTGAGTTATAGGATGTGTTGAGCTTGGTTGTTACAGGTTGGTAGAGCTTTGGCTCCCATTGTTGTTGCCCAGTTTTTGAGTGGTCCGCTCGAGCGGGTCATTTTTCCCTCGAGCAGGGTTTACACCCTTCCAGCATTTTGAGTCCCTGCAAAACTTCTGCAGGTGTGTTTTCTACGCTCGAGCGGGTTTCTTGCGCTCGAGCGGGTTGCGCTTGAGAGCGATTGTTGGCGCTCGAGCGGGTAGTACCTCATTGGTGAAAGTTCTGGGAGATGAAAATCTACGCTCGAGCGGACTGGTCTTTCGTGCTCGAGCGGGTGTGCTTGGTCTTTGTGTCTTGGAGCTCGAGCGGGAATTCTTACGCTCGAGCGGACCCAGTTTTTTGTTCTTGATGCTCGAGCGTCCTGTTCTCCGCTCGAGCGGGAGAGTCGTATATCAGTTGACAGTAGGCTATTTTAAATCACTTTTTACTTTCCTTTCTCTCTCTTACTTTTCGAAAACAGCCATTGGAGAGCTTCTCTCTCTAAAAATTTACCTTCTCTCTAAGTATTGATCTAGTAGGAGTGATCCTTCACTCTTTGGCCTTTATAAAAAGTGTGTTGATCATCGAGGGCTTCGTTTTGATCCAAAAAGTTTGAAGTTTGGAGCACTTTGAGTTTGGTCTTCTTCTTCCTTTGAGCTCCGAATTTGAGATAAGGATTCCTGCTCACTCTTATGGGCTTTGACCTAGATTTTGAGCTTTTGTATAAATGGTTTTGGGTTTTAAGGTTAGGGTTTCAAATGTGTAATTTTGAAAAGAAGGTTATGTTTGTTTTGAACCATAAACATGTATTCGGGTTTCAAAATGGGTATATTGATGTGGTTGGTAATATTTAGACCCTTGCGGTTAATATTGAGAGATGGGGGAGAAAGCCCTAAATTGTGCATGAATTAATTGGTGTAATTAATTTGGGAAAGTTATGGGTTTGTGAAATTGAGTTGAATATAACGAAATTGGCTCATTATGAGATGGAATAGTGGAGTCGGATTTATAAATCACTCACTTTTGAAAATGCGGATAATTTATCTGTTAGTGCTTTTATTATCTGTTTAGAAATAATTGCTTTGGGCTACCGGTGGAGGGTAGTCTTGATTGTTATAGATAATGCATGATGATTAGGCAAACTAAACCTGATCAATTGAATGTGTCATAGAATATGACGGTTGAAATAATACATTAACTTTATGTATTGATTGAATGTGTATATGATCTGTGTTTGTATACATTGTGTTGTGTGGGAGGTGATAGGGGATGTACTCCACAGTTTAGGAGAAGATAGGGGATGGACTCCTAAACCGGATATTGTTTGGGAGGAGATAGGGGATGGACTCCATAGATACGCTCATATGCTTATCTATTGAAGTGTAATATGTTTATCTGTTGATGTGTTGATATAGCTAATATGC